AGGGAGATGAGATGAGGCACACACTACCTACAATCCAGACGTCTTTCCTTCTAAGTGGTAGGTCCATTCTCTGGGAGCGGCTATAAAGAAGTCACTTGGCTTATATGTTTCTTCCCTTTCCCACGCTAGCACCAGCACATGTCCCAGCACTGGTTTGTTAGCGCTCTGCTCTGAGGAGTAGGCAGTCAGTGTGAGATCACAGAGAGTGCTTGAGGGGCCCTGCAATAGATGTTCCAGTTACACAATCCACAGATAATCGCCTCTTTAAAAGGAAAAATATGATGGTCTGTGTAACAGATCTGAAACAGGTGCAATGTCAGAGAGACCTGTAGTGGCAACTGATACCAAGGAGAAGGAGCTTGTGCCCAGTTCAAAGAGATTAGCAAGGCAGAAACTGGCATTCGCCTGGATGTCTCGGCCACCCCCAGGCAGCTTCCTCCTGCCCCGTAGGTGAGAAGTAAAGAAGTGGGGTGGGGAAATGTAACTTTGAAAAATTATTAAACTTCCACCCTCATTGACATTACTTGAGATCTAAGTTTTAATCTTTATGAATGCCACTCATGGTACATTTTCATAGCAGTTAGTCAAGAAATGCCACCTACTATTAAAAGCACCAACTGCAATCCAAATAGGCAGATCCAGGTTTTGCTCCAACCCACTCTATGGTATTCACATCTGTTAATAAATGTTTTTTTTTCTGTTTGATCTTTGGAGCATTTGTATCAGGCATTTAAATATTCCCAAGGCTATGACAGCCTACCTCTGTTAGGGTCATCCTTATTTCATGCTCCCACCGCCACCACCCCCCGCCCCCAAATACCTTACTTTCCTGATCAGGACCATGCCATTTAGATGGAGGATAAGTAACTAGAAGTGTACAGGAAGATGGGAGAAATCAAAGAACAAGGAGGTGAGTGTGGATAGTCTTAGGCATAAAATGTAGGGATATGTATAGCAAACAGGGGAAGCAGACAGAACCCAATGGGAAAATGGAACTCTGATTGCCTAAAAAAATAATTTGGCTCTTTTGTCTTTTATTAAGCAAACTAGAAGCCCAGTGCATGAAATTTGTGCACTTGGGTGTGAGGGGGGGTTCCCTCAGCCTGGCCTCTGCCCTCTCACAGTTTTTGGAGCCCTCCAACATCCCCCAAGGGGTCCCAAATTTGAGAGGGTGCAGGCCAGGCCAAGGGACACTACAGGTGCATGAATGGGGCCAGGGAGGGATGCAGGAAGTTGGCTAGCTGGAGAGGGACCTGGAGGGCTCCAGGGAGTGTCCGGCCTGTCTTGCTCAGTCCTGATTGGCCAGACCCCAGCAGCAAGAGCTAACCTACAAGTCAGAATGTCTGCCCCTTGGTGGTCAGTGCACATGATAGCAACTGGTCAACTGCTCCCTGGTGGTCAGTAGATGTTATAGCGAGCGGTTGAGCAGTCTTAGCATAATATTAGCATATTAGAGGCCCAGTGCATAAAATTCCTAGGCTTGCAGGCTTTGGGGAGGGGGAGGAGCGTCCCCTCAGACCAGCCTGCACCCTCTCACAGTACGGGAGCCTTTGGGGGATGTCTGACTGCTGGATATTCTCGTGGTGGGGGCAACCTCTGTGCCCACCAGCTGTGAACCTGGCTTCTGGCTGAACAGTGCTCCCTCTGTGGGAGCACACTGACCACCAGAGGGAAGCTCCTGCATTGAGAGTCTGCCCCTGGTGGTCAGTGCACATCATAGCAACTGGTTATTCCACTGTTCGGGCAATTTGTATATTGGCTTCTTATTATATAGGATTTATTATATAGGATTATGCTTTGATTGGTTGAATGGATGACCAGACAACCAGACACTTAGCTTTTATTATATAGAATAGTGTGTGCCTGTATTTGTATTAAACAGTAAATTAAATCTGAGGGAAATGCAGAATGGGACTATTTATACAAGAAATAGAGAAGTAAGAGAAGGAGAAACCCTGGGTTTGATTGTACAAAAGTAATACTAATTAGCATTATGAGTCATTTATCATTTATGAATTCATGGTATATTCACACAGCTATGAAACTCATCACTCATATGTGGCAGATTAATTTCCTTTAGGTTTTACTTGATAATACATTTAGAGCTAATTTATTATGGCATATCTGTTAAAAGCTTTTAAAATTCTACACTATTTAGGTGATTTTTGAACATCTTTTAAATATCATAGAATGAGAAAAGTCATTAGAAAACAGGATAAAAAGGAACATAGAGAAATAAAATGAACAAAACATGCTATAAAGATGAATATGTAGTATTTAATAAATTCAACAAAACATAGAGAACTTGAAAGAAAATAGTTTAAAATAAATCCAGTGGAGGAAATATAAATGGAATAGAAAAACCTGGTTAAGATCAGGAAAAGAAAAATAATCTAAACTTTACCAAACCATGTTAACAAATATACGTTGTTAAATTTACAGATAATTTGCTCTATTGAGACTGGAAAGTAAAGACTTTTCTAGAAAGAATTGTACTCCAAACTTTCCAAAGCACAGCTTCCACATCACAGTGTCTGAAAGCCAGAGTACATTCTTTCCAGTGCACCACGGTGAAGATTTTTACTATGATTAGCAGTGCTAATCTTCTAAAGAGAGAAGGGATAAAAGAGAAAGGAGAATAAGTGGAGAAAATTATGGCTTAAAAAAAATAATCCCTGGAGAGAAAAGAGTGTTCTTTACTGTGACCCCAGCAGAATATGGAAACATGTCAATCTAGCTCTGTCTGCATACCCAAAGACATCTGAGCTGCTGGAATGCCCTTCTCCATCCACCCACTGCCAAGGCCCCTGGCTACCCTGGCACCCACTGGCTCAGGAGGCAGGAGCCTCCAGTACAGGGGCCTTGGCAGCCACAGAAAGGAGAAAAGCTCTGAGCCTCACATTAGTGTGCCCTTCTGTCCTCCATCAGGTAAGAGAGACAGGGAAATTTACTGCTGACATTTCTGGGCCTCTCGCCATTTACAAAGAAGAAGCTGAATGGGACATTTGGAGCTAATCGCCATTCCTCCACACCTTCTGCATAGCACTGATTGCAGAACCCAGCCAGGAGGCCCAGGTTACACAGAGGACATCAGATTAATTATGAAGGATGTTCTCTTAGGGTTTCTGAGGAATGACATTCTCAGTCTTTCCCTCAAAAATATCATAGCCCTAGCCAGGTGGCTTAGTTGGTTGGAGCATTGTCCTGTGCACCAAAAGATGGCAGGTGTCCACTCAGGACACATACCTGGATTGCAGGTTTGATTCCCAGTTAGGGAGCATTCAGGAGGCAACCAAACAATGTTTCTCTATCATATCAATGTTTTTCTCTCTCTCAAGTTAATAAAATTATGCCCTTGAGTGAGGAGTAAATATGTATATTTGAAGTATTTGACTACCAAATCATTTGATTTCTAATATTCTGAAGAATTTCATCATAAAACAATTCTTCCTTAAAATTTCCATGTTTTAACTTAGCACCATCTCCCTCTGAAGACATTGCCTACTCATAGAAATTTTATCAGAGGGGTGGGGGGGGGAAGTACTGTTAAAGTAATTAAATTCATATAAATTACTAAGACAGTTGGTAATTTCAAAGTTATCTGAGAAGAATGTTTTGTCTTCCTTGTCTACAGAAATTAATGAACAGAGAAAGAAATCCTTCTGTTTGTTTGGCTATAAACAGCCCTCACGAGGAAGCCCTTCACATTTGACTGAAATTTCACCTGTGGAAATTTTTTCTTGGTGTATACTGAACAAGACATGAGCTCATAGGTCAAGTAGAGATCTCAGAAAACCTAAATTTTGACTTCATTCACTTCTCTTCAATACATTTTACCATTCTGTATTCACTTACAGTTAAGACTCCTCTGTCCTTTACACCTAACAGATCTATTTCATTCTGTTGCTCATAAAAAATGCCCTTCCTGTCTGAAGAGTGTTTTGCAGAAAGTAGCTGGAGAAAGAAAGAGGTTTCCCGAACCTGCTTAATAAGAGTCAGTTGCTCTGATTTTTAAGAACAATAACTTCTAGCCTCAGCCAAAAAGTGGATTGCACTTAAATAGAGCTGTTCCTCCCACGAACATTTTTGGTGCCTGTTATGTGCCAGTTACTGGGAAAGCACTTGAGAAGCAAAGTGATATGAGTTCCCCACCTTGAGGAGTGACACTAAAGAAAGATGACAAACACATTCAGAACAATTGTTTGTGCTGGAATAAAGGCACAGGCAGCACAGGAACTGCCTGTCTATGGATGGATGACTGGGTACTAACTGAGCTAAGCTAGGGGATGGGATTGTTGCTAGCTAACATGTAGTAAATGCTTAGCATGGTGGCAGATAGTATGCTAAGTGCTTTTACCCATTATCACACTTAATTTCCACAACGACTATTATCCCATTACCCAGATAAGGTAGAGTTTAGTAACTTGCCGAAGATCAAGCAGACACAATGGGCCCAGGGCCCATGTACTGCACAGATGAGGACACAGCGTGCCATTGGGCAAGGCCTGCTTATCCCTGCTGCTGACCACCAGTGTCAACAGCTTTACCACCTATCTTGGGAGATTAATGTCTTGAGGAAATTGGCAACTTCTGCACAGCAATTGTACCCTTTGCAGCGCTTCTCTAAATTTCATGTCCAACTTCGTGCTTTTTAAATGATCCTTCTTAAGAAATGTGTGTTTTCATACTAAGAAATTTGTGTTTCCATAAATTCTTATTTGTAACTTCAAAGCCATTAACTATAATGTAGCCTGGGAGTAGATATGAATAATCAAGGGCCTTCCAAGTACTGCCCAAACTCAGTTGTTTAATTTACAAATGCATAGTCCTCAGTGAAACAAAATTAAAGCTTTCCTACTTATAAATGTTCTCTAATTCTACACACAAGTGTCAAAATAGAATTTGAAAGAGGTCTGATGAATGGCTATCATTATTGATATATGTAAGAAAAGTAAGGTAGAACTAAGACTTTTCAGGAGACTAAATTAGCACACAATTACCTCATTATTTCCAGATCTTGAATTTTGTTCATTACAACTTTCTTCTAGAAAACACTTCATCTTCTCAACCTTTTCCATGCACTGAAAAAAGGTCGCTTTCTCCAGGCTGTTGCTGTTGTAACAAGTGGTGATTTCCTCCAGCCTCTTCACTTTTAACATCTTGGTGGTGAGTCCGATGAAGTGACTGTCTGGAGTGTTGTGTTCATCTCCCTCTGTCCCTGATTTGTAAATCAAGATGCAGTTGTGACTTTTGATTGCACCTTCCTCCTGACTGCAAAGAAAGGAAACAGTTCTCATCACTTATTCACTTATTTGATTTTTGGGAAAATGACAGAGAAAATTTTGAAGTATTATACCTTCTGCAATAATTTTTTTAAAAGAGTAATTACCATTTATAGGAATATATCTAGGGTTTTGAGCACTCCAAGTGTAGAGTATGAGTTCCGGCAGGTAAAGGGAAGTTTTGCCGAGTTCAAAATGACTACATGGTTTTCTGGTATAAGCCTTTACTGTCAGTCAGCATAAACCTTCCAAAAAGACAGCCTCCACCATGAAAATAAGTATCCTCTCTCTCAAATGCCACTTTGAGCCCCTGTTGATCTCATGTTACTCAGCTGTTGCCTTCTTAGTCAGATGGGGAAGTATATTAATTTTAGTCACCAGGCTTTTTAAGCCAGTGGCTCTATTTCAGAGTTCAGGTAAGGAAAGGACTGGGAGCAGAGGATAAAATATCACCTTCACCTTTCCCTGTCATCAGTGTGGCAACATGCTCAGAATTATAAAACTGCATTTGTCTTTGATGATCATACGTCCAGATATTCTGCCTCTTTTAGACTCATGATTATATAACTGCTCATTCTCAGCCAGGAGAATCCCACAGAACAGACCCATCTTACCCTATGACCATGTCCAACTAGAATGGGAGAGATCTTCTGAAAGCACTTAGCCAGTTTTAATTTTTTAATCCTTAAACTTATTTGCAATATCTCCAAATGTTTGCAACTCTAGGGAAAGGTTGAAAGTGAAGGCATCCAGGGAGTTACAAAAAACAGCAAAAGGCAATACCATGCATTTCCCCCAAGTTTTCCATCGAAGGCCAAGAAAAGAAAATCCAGCCAAATAAACCTGCCAGTCTGATTTTAACAGTAGTGAATTCCTAGCTTTATTTAAAACCTGGATTGCTTAGAAAATACAACTAGAAATACAGATAATCCTATAGTTTCTCAAGGTCCTGGTGATTTTCAGCTCTTTTTTTGGAGCCTTTGCTGATTCCTCCACTCCCCACTTTAACACAAACTCCTGGTGCTCTCTTGCTTTTCAAAAAAAAAAAACACAAAAAAACAAAGTTCTTAACTTTAATTCATATGAATGATGTATTCTATATAAAATAAAAATACATGTCTCTACTTAGTAAACAGCTATTTGGAGCCATCTAGTAAATCCTATCTTCCCTAAACAAAGGACACTTATGAGTAAATGATTTGTATTTTGCCTCCCTAATCAGAGGGTATAACTAGATGGTAAATAGCTTACATCAATGTAATCAGGGAGACTGATAGCAAAAATCCAATTAGTGTCATTTACTGACCACATCCAAGGACCAAGTCAGTTAGAGAATAAACCTCGTTTTTATTAGTCCTTTTCTAGTCTATTAAAAGGGAAAAGATCTTTCCTGTTTTTTACCCAGGAAGCAAAAGTTCTATAAATTATTAAAATGTTTATGTTTCACATTAATCAAGTATGTTTTACCAAAAAAAATCTTCTAATCATGGAATTGAAGTTTACTAGCTCATGTTTGTGTCTAATACTCTTTCATATATCATCTTTTGGCAAAATAAATTTGACAATCCTTCCAGAGTTTGAATCTTAAGAAACTTTTTCTTCATCTAAAATTGACTTTAGATCATTCTACTCTAGATGGAATGCCTCAAGTATTTGTTTTCTCTTTCATGAAGGAAAATTTTCTGCTTAAGGTACATGAGAAACATTGTCAAATTATAATAACCATATTATGCTTTTATTTATAGCTCTAATTGTTATTCTGGAAAATTGTGTTTTGAAAAAAAAAAAGACAAGATTCCATGTCATTTGCAAGTATTGCTGATTTTTAAATTTTTAGGAAGCATTTTTAATGCAAATTTGGTAAATCATATATATTCTCCCCACCTGACCTTCCAGTATTTGGCAATTCATAATAAGTGGCAATACTTTTTTTCATGAATTCAGTAAGATCTGTTGCCAATTATAGATATATTAACCAAGATAAACTGATAATATGCCTGCTTATAGCAGACATGGCTTTACCACATTTTGCAGAACTTGGTCCATCTATCATTCCATGGGGATCCCTTACAATCCACAAAGTCAAGCCATCATACAACACTGCTACCCTGAAGGGTATGCTAGTAAAACAAAAAAAGGGGGGGGTGTGTGGAATGTGGGACTCAAGGATTCTCCTATAATACTATCTAAAGCACACTTTATCCTTAATTTTAAAAATCTGAATGGTCATTTTTAATCATCTGTAGAACAGTTATTTACCTCAATAACCCCACCTCAGAAACCACAAGTTTTGAGGACACTAATAACTGGATGGGACCCAATGAGTTATTAACATGAGGGAGAGGTATGTATGTGTTTCTACTCCTACAGGGCCATTATGGGTTCCAGATCACCAGATTAAACCCTATCATGGCACGGGACCAACCCTCTTCCAGAAATGAAGAATCTGAGCCTGGGGATTCTGTAGCACAGAACATTGAGCCTTCCCTGGACCCAGATGACCCCCGAAATAACCTGGGAATGATGAAGCTGATGGCAGAGGCTGAGCAATCATTTGAGCATACTAGCATTCCATGCATTCCAGATAAGTAACCATTGCTCTTTTTGTTTTTCTTATAGTCTATAAAATCAGAACTGGAACGGTATATGTGCTTTGCAGACCCCAACATTCCAATTAAACATGTCTCTACTTAGTAAACAGCTATTTGGAGCCATTATTAAATCAGAACTGGAATGGTATATGTGCTTTGCAGACCCCGGTATATGTGCTTTGAAGACAGAGTTCACCTCCTCTGTCTTCTACATTTAGCAAAACAAAAAAGGGGAAGATGTTGGGAGCACACGGGACTTGATTGAAAAGTTCTAAGGTGGACATTCTGAGAAAATGGGAGTGTGTGGAAGGCCCCCGACCTGTTTATCAGAATTCTGACTTAGGGGAGTGTCGAAGGCAGTGTCCCTAATTATTCCTTGACCTTTCCCAACAAATCTGTGTACATGCAGATCCCTGGTGTTTACTGGAATCCTAATGCTTAATTCTTGGAATCTCTTGCCTAGAAGACAATGTAAACACTTATGTATTTAAAGTTAAAAAATCCCAATAAAAGCTCAACGAGGCAGGCAATTGAGGCTGCCTGTCCTCTCCCCCATAGTGAAACTGTGTCGGAGTAATTTGTTCATCTGTTGTTCAGGGACTGCTGGTCAGCTCTGACAAAAATAATAAAAGAATTAAGAGGAAGAGACAAAAGTGTTCTGACACCAAGTGAGTGGCCTGCAACTTAATTCATTTTTGACATTAACTGAAGTTAGTGTCATACTTCACAGATTAAGGGCAAAGTCCCTCATAAGACTACCCTCACATCAGACACCAGCCACAAATCTTAGAGACCAGCTGCATTCCTGATCAACTGCCTACAAATTTGGGGGTTCCTACAATCTCCTAAAGTTTGATAATTCACTGGAATTAATCACAGAAATCAGTGAAAGCACATTATTTTTTAGTTTTTAAATAATAGATGCACATAACATCTGGGAGGGTCCCAGACAAAGAGCTGCCACGCCCTCTGCCCTGAAGACAAAGCTCATCACTCTCCCTTCACACATGTGTTCACCAACCAAGAAGCTTCACTGAACTTAGTGTTTTTATTGGGGTTTCATTAAGTAGGCAGATTGGTTAAATTACTGGATATGTAATGGAACTCAAACTTCAACCCTCTTTTTCACTCCTCAGAGATGGCTGGCCTGATATTCCAACCCTCTAATTATGTATTTGTTCTTTCTGGTGATCAGCCCCCATTCTGAAGCTATCCGGGGACTAATGAGGAGTAACCTCATTGGCATAATAAACACTCTTCTATTACTCAGAAAATTCCAAGGGTTCTTAACTCTGTGTCAAGAACCAGAGAAAAGTTCAGATATGTTCTTTTTATACAACAGGTATCAATTGAAAATCACCTAAAACTATTAAAAGTGTTCCCAAAAAGGTGAAATATTAAAAAAAAAAAACAAAAAAAAAAAAAAAAAAAACTAGTGGCCCGATGCATAAAATTTGTGCACGAGGGGGTAGGTGTCCCTCAGCCCAGCCTGCACCCTCTCCAGTATGGGACCCCTCAAAGGATGTCTACTGCCAGTGTACAGGGATTGGGCCTAAATCTGTAGCTGAACATCTCTCATGCAATCCGAGACTGCTGGCTCCTAACCACTCACCAGCCTGCCTGCCTGATTGCCCCTAACCACTCTGCCTGCCAGCCTGCTTACCCCCAATTGCCCCCACCACCACCACCAGCCTGCTCACCACCAAATGCCCTCCCGCCAGGCTAATCACCCCCAACTGCCCCTCCTGCCAGATTGCTCGCTCCCAAATGCCCCCCCCCCTTGCTGGCCTGCTTGCCCCCACCATCCCTCCCCACTGGCCTGCTTTCCCCTAACTACTCCCTAACTGGCCTACTCAGTCCAAACTGCCCCTTCTGCTGTCTTGAACACACCCATATTACACTCACTGATGGCCAGCTCACCCTCAACTGCCCCTCACCACAAGCCTGATAACCCCCAACTGCCCCCCCAACAGCCTGATCACCCACAACTGCCTTCCCCTCTTGGCCTCTAATTGCCTCTACCTCGGCCCCACCACCATGGCTTTTACCAGAAGAATGTCTGGAAGGTTTCCTGGAAGATCTCCCAGTCTAATTAGCATATTACCCTTTTATTAGTATAGAGGCCTGGTGCATGGGTGGGGGCTTGCTGGTTTGCCCTGAAGGGTGTCCCAAATGAGGGTGGGGGTTCCCTTGGGGTATAGGGTGGCCTATGGTGGTTTTCAGGCTGGCCACACCCCCATAGGTTGAGGGTCCCCATTGGGGGGGTATGGCCAGCCTGGGTGAGGA